TGGTGACTGTCAAGCTTCTCCTCGCTATAGCAGCTATTAAAAACTGGCACATAGTTCAATTGGATGTTAATAACGCATTTCTTTATGGTGACCTCTTTGAAGAAAATTACATGGATTTGCCTTTGGGTTATACACCCTCTTTTTCTTCTGGCAGACAAGGGGACTGCAAACAGGGGGAGCCTTTGGTCTGTCGATTGCATAAGTCAATCTATGGTCTAAAACAAGCTTCGAGACAGTAGTTTTCTAAATTCTCTCAGGCTCTTCTCCTTCATGGTTTCTGTCAGTCAAAATCTGATTATTCTCTCTTCACTAAAGGTTCTGGTGCTTCATTTGTTGCCCTCCTAGTCTATGTTGATGACATTGTCATCACGGGTTCGGATTCCAGCATTATTGATGATTTAAAATCATTTCTTCACAGTCAATTTAAGCTTAAGGATTTGGGAAAGCTTAAATTTTTTCTTGGCCTAGAAATTTCCAGATCGAACACTGGGATTGTGCTTTCTCAGAGACATTATGCTCTTCAATTGTTAGAAGATACTGGCTTTCTAGGTTGTAAGCCTGCTGTGATTCCCATGGATAGCAAAGTTCGATTGAACTCCTTTGAGGGGGAGTTGCTGGAAGATGCTTCTATGTATAGAAGATTAATTGGGCGTCTGCTATACTTAACCATGTCAAGACCAGATATCACCTTCGCAGTTCACAAGCTCATTCAGTTTGTTTCGCAACCACGAAAGCCACATTTGGATGCTGTACATCATTTGCTGCAATACATTAAAACCACTCCAGGTCAAGGTCTTCTCTTTTCTGCTGGTTCATTACTGCAGTTGCGGGCTTATGCTGATGCTGACTGGGGTTCTTGCCTAGATTCCAGGAAATCAGTAACTGGATTCTGTATTTTTCTTGGGGATTCAATGATATCATGGAAAGCAAAGAAACAAACTACCATTTCCAGATCATCTGCAGAGGCTGAGTATCGTGCCTTAGCGTCTAGAGCCAGTGAACTTGTATGGATACAACAATTGCTCTGTAATTTTCATCTGGATGTCAAGGAGCCAGCTTTAATCTTTTGTGATAATCAGGCTACTGTACATATAGCCACCAATCCTATATTCCACGAACGCACTAAACATATAGAGATAGATTGCCACTTTGTGAGTGATAAAATCAGTGAAGGAGTCATCA